CTGAACAGAGAGGCTTGGGATTGTCCAGGTGAAACGTACTGCAGAGCTGCTAGAAAGCTGGAAAGGAGATGAGGAATTTTCTCCCTCAACACCAATAGGGAACTGGGAGGAGCTGGGGGTGAGATTTCTTCAGATGGACCCTCTTCTGTTCCCAGGGATTAGTATTAAAATGAGAGTTTCCAGCCTTGCAGAGAACTGCCTGAGCAAGGAACGACTCAGTGCTCAGAAGAGCTTCCCACCTGCCAGAGAGGAGGAGAACAAGGTCCCGCGTGGCTTTGAGAGTGAGGTGTGTGTTGAAGCAGCAGCTCTTCTGATCAACCTGAGGCCCCAGGAGGCTCCTGGAGTGTTCTAGGCAGAGCAGGTTGCTGCTCACGGGGCAAATCCAGCCACAAAAAAATGCTGCGTTTGGAAAGCGAGTGAGGCAGAACCAGCCTGGACCGTGTCCAAGGGCTGAGAGGATCCTCCGAGGTGCACCAGAGCTTGGAGATGGGATCAGAGCCCCTCTCATTGCCCACAGGCAGCCAGAGCAAGGACTGAAGGGATGCTGAGCCTCAGGAAGCTGGTGCTGGGGTGTGGAGCCCTCCCTGGTGTCACCAGGTGTCTCTGTTCCCTTGCACTGCACATTCCAGCCAGTATCATGGACCTGGTACCACACAGGTGTCTTCCAAAGGGGGAAGAACAACCAGTTGACCTGTTTTGTGGTTTATCTGAAGATCTGGTGCTCACAGCTGAACAATCCTGCACTGAACCAGAGGGGAGGAGGGAGAGAAAGTCACTGATGGCCTGTTTGGGACACCAGTGGGACCTGCCAGTCCCAGCCTGTCACTGAGGCCAATGGGAGTGAGAAAGGCACAAAACTGGCACCACAGGAGTCCCTCACACAAAACCTGAGCCCTCCTGCCACAACCTCTCATCCTGGATTTGTCCCCAGACACAGGAACACCTCAGCCCCCTGCCCTCCCTTTGCCATTCCCAGCAGGAGAGACCTCTGTGGGACACCACGAGGGGCTGGGAGCTGCTGCCCACCCAGCAGGAACAGCTGCCCTGGCTCACATGGGTGAGGAAAATACAGCCTGGCCAGGGAAAAGGGCTTGTTCTCCCTCAGCCAGACAGTCCTAATGGGAATCTGGGAAAGAGATTGGGAATCTGGCTGTGTCCTTCCAGCAGACACCTCAGCTCCAGCCAGGGAGATCCCTGTGTACCCACAGTGGCTCAACCCAAGGTCACCAGAGAGAAGGTCTGACTCCCTCTCAGACCTCTGCCCTTGAAGGATCCTTCACCAGTCCCTTTCTTCCCAGAATCGGCTCCAGCAGATTTAACAGTTTGTCACCCTTCCAAGCCTGCCCACAGCTCCAGCCAGGAGACACACACACACACACACATCCCCAGGGCTGCTCCACCACCAGCCTTTAGCTCACTGCTTGGAGAACACCTCCCGGGCTGGGGCTGAGGAGCAGTGCTTGGAGCTCCAGGCCTGCTCAGAGAGAGTGGGAAGGGGCAGGAAGGATGAAAACCCTGGGATTTCAAAGGAAAAACCAGTTACTCTGGGTCTCCCAGCAAGAAGGATGCAGGGTTTTTGCTCTGCAGCCAGAGCTCCCCAGGGAAGGGGAGAAGCTGTGGCTTGGGAAGGGCCAGAGGAGGGACACACAAGGACCCGAGCTCAGATGTCCCTTCATGACTCAGGGAGCCCCCACAGGAGCTCCCAGCTCTGCTCTCTGAGCAGAGGGGGTGGCATTTAAACCCCAAAGGGCAGCAAAAGCCAAACACCAGGCCGGGCTGGTGCCAAGGAGCTCATGCCAGGCCCTGGGCTGAGCACTCAGCTCCAGGGTGAACCCTGACAAGTGTCACTGCCCCCTCAGTGAGGCCACCAGAGCCCGGGCAGACACGGGATCCGTGCTCACTTATTTCCCTGAGGCTCCTGGGATCACCTGGGGGGTGGGAAAGGGATTAAAAGGGGAGCAGGGGGTTTGGTCTGGGCAGGGCCCAAAGGCTTCCCAGGCACTCCTGCCCTGGCCGTGCGGGAACGGGGAACCGGCGCGGGAGTGTTACTGCCATCAGCTGGAGACACTGGGAAGGACTGGGAAGGGCCGGGAAGGGTGGCCCAGCATCAACTGTGAGATGCAGGGACCATCCTCCTCCTCCTCCCACCACCTTCTCCTCCTCCCGAGTCCCTCCCGGGCCGGGGTCACCCGCTCTGGGATGAGGATGGGAAGTCACTGCCAGCCCGAGCCACAAGCTCTGCTGGGATGCAAGGGGGCACAGGCAGCTCCTTCCCTTCATGGGGATATTCCAGCCTGATGGCACTGGAAGAGCAGATGAAGAATGTTTCACTCAGTTGTTTTGCAGGGTAACCCTCTCATTCCCCTCTGATGGCAGTTGCTTTGGCTCCTGCACCTGCACAAGGCTCCTGCTCTCCATTAAATCACACCCTGCCAGGCTCACACTTCATTTAGCTTCTTCCCTGCTCCCATCAGGTTAATATTTCCCTGGGGAGAGCCTGGCAAAGCCAGGGAGGGGAGGGAGACAACAAGCTTGGGATGGAGGAAATAATTCAACAAGCTGGAGGGACACAGGGAGGCCAGGGGGTGCAGCAGGGCTGGACTTGCCCCAAGATCCCAAGCTGATCCAGCACCAAGCTCCCAATCCCAGCCTGCTCCCAGATACTTACTTTTTTTCCCCCAAGAAAAGCCAAAAATCCTGCAGGGTTCCCAGTGCAGCACTGGGAGGCTGAGTGGGAACCACCTCCCTTGTTTCTCTAAAATCCAGTCTGAGGTGCTGGGCTGGACCCTGGTTTTCCAGTCAACAATTCCAGCTCATGACTCAGCTTCCAGGCTCCTGTGCCCCTGGTCTGCAGGAGACTTCTTGGGAAGCCCAGTCAAACAGGTCACCCCTGGCCAAGCCTTAAGCAGAGCAATAATAAGTCTTTGTTCCAGGAAGTCATTAGGCAGCATTATGGGCTGGCACTGGGGAGCAGCACATGGGGCTCCACATTCCAAACATTAGGACACATCCTGGGGGTGAACTGGGGCAGAAGGACACAGCAGGCAGCTGTCACAGTCATGGGGACACGCTGGCTCCCTGCCCTGCCTGAGGACCTGCACACCACGTTCAGCAAGCACCATATTCACAGAGCAGCACAAATCCAGGGACCCCAAAACCCCCCATTTCTGTCACCAAGAATCCCTGGCTGGGCAGCACTAGGGTAAAGGAGTCAGGTCAGGAGAGACAGAGAAGCTTATGGACATTAAAGATCATCAGGTTCCAACCCTCCTGCATGGGCAGGGACACCTCCCACCAGCCCAGGCTGCTCCAAGCCCCATCCAACAGAGCAGCACAAATCCAGGGACCCCAAAACCCCCCATTTCTGTCACCAAGAATCCCTGGCTGGGCAGCACTAGGGTAAAGGAGTCAGGTCAGGAGAGACAGAGAAGCTCATGGACATAAAAGATCATCAGGTTCCAACCCCCCCCATGGGCAGGGACACCTCCCACCAGCCCAGGTTGCTCCAAGCCCCATCCAACCTGCCCTTCAACACTGCCAGGGATGGGGCAGCCACAGCTTCCCTGGGCACCCTGGGCCAGGCTCTCACCACCCTCACACTAAGAAACTCCCTCCTAATGTCTCACCTAAATCCACTTCCAGCTTAAAACCCACCAGTTCCAGCTCTTCTGAAGCTAAAGGCAGGAGGTGTGACAGCAACAACTGGGGACAGAGGAGATATCACTTCAAACCTGAACCCCACCAGCTGAGCAGAGGACACCCCAAGACACCCTTCTACCTGCCCAGCCACTCACCTTCCTCTGCTCCTTCCTCATCACGTGTTTATCTTCATCCTTCCAGTAGGCATCTTCCAGCTCCTGCTGCCGTTTGGCATCAGCTGCTGCCTTGGCCTCAGCTCTCCTTGCTCGGGCAGCAGCCGACTTGGTGTTCTCCCCTTGGAACTTCTTGGGCATCCCTCAAGGTGCTCTGTGAAGAAAAAAGAGGTTCAGCTCCTTGGCCTGGTCCAGGATCTCGGGTTTATTGTCACCACGGGAAGGAGGAGCAGCTGGAAAATCCCTTTTTCCTCATAGTATTTTGAGATGCTGGGCAGAACAGACCTGATGAGCTCCCAGTTCAGCCAGGGGGAACTCTGTTCTCTGCAGCAATGGGGGCTGTGGGGGTGCTGGGACCACTGGAAGCTGAAACAATCTGTGCTGCTGAATGGAAAGGAAGCTGGGGGCCTTGGCTCTGCATCAGCAGGCTCCGAGGGGAACTCCTGGCTGCCAGCAGAGGGAATTCCCTTCCCAGAGCAGAGGGAAGCAGCACAAATGCTGCATCACACCCTCCAACTGCCTGCACAGAAATGCAACCCCGGGGGCTGGTTTAACTCAGGTAAATGACCACACAGAGCTCATTTCACAGAAATGGTTTGGGTTGGATGGGACCTTAAAGCCCATCCAGTCCCACCCCCCCATGGGCAGGGACACCTCCCACCAGCCCAGGCTGCTCCAAGCCCCATCCAACCTGCCCTTCAGCACCCCCAGGGATGGGGCAGCCCAGACACCCCGCCCTAGGTCTGAGCGGGTAATGGCAGGAAAACTGTTCGTTTGTCCAAGAAACACCAGCACAGGGCTGATGCTCCGGGCCGGCTGCTCCCGCCCATCCTGGCCTGGATTAAATCCCGTCTCCCCCCCCC